TATATATATATATATATCTATATCTATATATATCTATATATATATATCTCTATATATCTCTATCTATATATATATCTATATATATCTATATATATACTCTTTGCCATTAAACCATCCACACAAGCTGTGCTGTATCTATTTCTTGAGCATTTCTTTATTATACACACAGGACTATTTGTGTTGCTCTGAAAACAAAAATTAAGTTCGATATAAATTGCTTTCATACTAATAATGAACTTTATTTCATGAAAATCTTGGGTCACACTGTAATTTTTTACACAGCATGTGAATGAGAACTCCTGGTTTAATTTTAAATCTGTTTTTTCGTACATCCTGTAAACGGAGCAGCTGGGCCCAGTTTGGACAATAACCCATCATTTCTTTTAAAAAGCCTGTACATGGCAGCTTAATCTGACTGAAACACCATTGGTGGCTGTGTGAGGTGATATGGCTCTGTGATCATTTTTAAGGGATATTAAAGGGAAGGAACCCAGGTTTATCACTTTGGAGGAGTTTGGAGCTCAGTTACTGTAGTTCTGAATAAAGCAAACCAATTCATAGGTGATTTACATCATCTTGAAATATATTTGAAAGAGTTCTAAACTGAAATCTAAAAAGACCCGCTATCAGGTTATAAATGCAAAAGTAAATATCAAGATTACTTTGTTTTGTTTTGTTAGAACAAGAATCAACATATTCTTTGAGGAACAGTGACTCCCTAATGGTGTCAAAAGTAGTGATGATTTTTTTTTTGTGTTTGCTGTGGCTGCACTGACGCTGGAATCCTTGGTCAGGAACTATAAACCAGGTCAGAACTAAGGGGAAATAAGTATTTGTGTTGACAGATGCAGCCAGCGAAGTAAAAAGATGGAGCGACTGCAAAAGCAGGTAAAAATAGCTCAGGAGTGAGGCTGATGAATAATAGAGGCTACAAGTACGGCTGACAGTGAAGCAAAGAGTACAAGACAGCATTGGAACAAAACCTAATATAAATTGTGGGTTAAAATATAAATGTGCAAAAAAGGATGGAATGAGAAATGGACCGTAACTGCAGCTTTCCATTGGTTTGAAAAGTTTTCTTTTTTTCAGATTTTGTTGGAAAAAGACAAAAAATTACATTTTTACATCATCTTAGATTTAAGCAAAAATACGCTGGGTGTTTTGATCATCTTAGAAGTAAGAATGTTTGGTTCATTGCTTGGTTTTCACTTTTAGCGAATACCTGACCTTTAATTTAAATCCATCAGTTTTAAGAGCTAAGAACTGTGTTGTGTACTAAAATCAGAAGGGCTACATTCATAAGTAATTATAGGTTAAAAATAAACATTTTAATCTAGTGATCATATAATTTACACTCAGAAGTTGGTATTCTTCCTACATTTGTTACAGAACATTGTATATTTTTATATATGCAGTTTTGGGGAGGAGTCAGTGTGGTCACATTGATGGAGGCGAATATAAGTTCTTCAAACAGCTCTAGAAACATTTTAGGCAGGTTTCTGTGTTTCACTGATCAACAATGCAATAAATACAAGCAGCTGCGTTTTATTAAAGTAGTCATACCACTTGAACCTTTCCATATCTTTAATAACAATATTCTTAAAAAAAAAAATTTCTTTCTTAATCTTGATAGTAATTTACATAAGATCTTGGTAAAATATAAGTAAATTTTGGCTTAAAATGTGGAAAAGCTTAGGTGAAAAAAAAAACTTTGAGGCACAGTGTAGATCCCAGCCTTGCTGCTCCTACAGTGGTTTTCATCCTTTGGTTTAAGCCTCTTCTTCAATGTAAACCTTCACCTTTCTTTCCACTATCTACATCTATGTGGGAACAATGCAGAGAACCGGCCCTGTAGGTCAGGGGTGAGATGCCATAAATGGTACCCATACTATGAGACATGGTTGGTTGGTAGACAGACTAATTAGAAGCCCCCCTTTGACCTCACCTCTGACCTCTTAGGCTATGTCACATGAGATCTTTAAAGTGGAGCTCCCGAACACAAAGAGCTCTCAAATCTAACAGATAAAGTATTTTCTCATATTCATTTTGGTGTCTTTATCCTACATCAGAGGGCTTCAACAGGGGGTCCGCGACCCCTAAGGGGTCCGAAGAGGTACTGCATGGGGGTCGTGAAAGTTTATTTCCGCTAATTGAAATGTCTTTAAATACATATTAACATGAATTCAAGACACTGATGTAAACAGATAAATGGAGGCAGAAGATGTCTCCCAGTCATCAATGCACACATTCAGCGACACACAGGAGCTCTTTCAAGCTGGGCACCGTTTCATTCACAACACCTGTCCCATCAACCAGGAATCAGAATCAGAAATACTTTTATAATCCCAGGGTGAAATAACTTTTGTCACATTACTTCATCTGTAATAAAGTGACTATAGGAGCAGTTTGATATAAAGCAATTTTATACAATATGTATAATTAGGGGTCCCGCTCCATCTCGCCCTCAGTTTGGGGGACCTTGGCCTGGAAAACCTTGAAGACCCCTGTCCTACATGATGGCCATATGTTTTTTTTTTAATGTTTCACAGTATAGCCACAAAGTATATTTTACTGGGATACTGCATCAAACAAATAAAACAAATAAAAGCTGTGTGTATTGGTTAAGAAGAAAGAATTGAATACAGAATATAAATCCAGCCTTTAGATCTTTGTCGAGGGACTTGAGTGAACAAACACCATAATGAATCTAATGGAAAACACCAAAAATGCCTGAGATCAATTTGTGCCCTGGTGGGGGCAGCATCATACTGTGGGGATTTTTTATTTTTTTTTCCTTAGGGACAGGTAAGCTGTTCCAAGTCGATGATGAAGATGAATTAAGCTAAATATAATATAACTCTTTAAGAAAACCTCTTCACATTTTTAGCATTTCAACTAAATTAGTGTTTTTTGTCCCATTCATACTCATGTGGGATGTCGT